GAAATGCTACAGTATTGATTTTGGGGTTACAAACAAATCTTAATAAGCAAGTGAATTCACAAGTATGAAATCTGCAAATAATGAGAATTGACTGTAATAAATGTTTGATTAGATTGGTTTGGATAAGAACTCAGTTTTGCTTCATAATGTTGAGCTCTTCCTCTCCCACTGACTACATCCCACATTTTCTGTCTTTCATCTTCTACTGAAGGTACTTAAATATCTATAGACATCTATAGAAACAAGGAAGAGGGAATGTAGGGAATGGCTGACACTTGAACTTTACTCACATTTGAACTGGTCAAAGGAGGGAAGAACCCACAAACAGACAGTTGAGTACACAAATACATTTTACAGGGAAATTGGAGAGAAAGGTGGAAAGGGAGAATGAGCAATCAGAGGGAGGATGGATTAAGGGGTTATTCATAAACAGAACAAAATCTAAAAATGTAGCTTTTTGAGGTAGCAGTAAATGAGAATGAGAGAGTACCATTAATTACAGAATGGCTAAACAAATTATGATGTATAAACATGATAGAATATTATAGTGCTTTAAGAAATGATGAAGGAGATGGTTTCAGAGAAAGTTGGGCAGTCTTATATGAACTGATGCAGAGTCAAGTGAATGGAACCAGGAGAATAATCTATACAGACAACAATATGGTAAAGACAAACATCTTTGAAAAAATTAGGAACTCAACATCAACATAACAACTAACCACAAATCCAGAACACTAATGATGAAACATACCACCTACCTCTGAGAGAGGTGAAGGATTCAGAGTACAGAATAAGACATATTTTTAAAAAATATGTTTTGCTTGACTATATATATTTGTAATAAGGGTCTTTTTTTTCATTCTCAATAGGGGAAGGAGAAGTTGGAGAAAGGAGAAAGAAAGTGAATTTTTATCAATTTTTTAAAATAGATAATTTTTTAAAAGAAAGTCTTAGTATTCAGGATGAGGGAGGTGATAGCCTCACTGACTTGCATTAATCAGACTACATCTGTAGTATGAAGTTCAGTTCTAGACACCACATTTTAGGTGATTTTGATTTTTCCTTCTTTGATATTTTATCCTACCTTTGTTTTGTGACCCTCATAGTTCTCTTCTTATTTCTTTTATCTTGTAAGATCTTGTCCTTCTCTTCTTTGCATTCTCTATGGTAATTTCATTCATGTCCACGTCTTTAATAATTACTTCCTAGTAAATGACTCCCAAATCTCTTTCTTTAGGCCTAATCTCTCCCCAAAATTCATTCACATATTTCCAACTGCCTGAAGGACATGTCCATCATTTACAGTGTTCATTGTAAAACATCCAAATAGACATATCCTTCAGTCAGCTAGAAATTGAATTTCTCCAAATGAAATTTATCCAAATCTAAATTCATTATCTTTCCAATCCCCTAATCCTCTAATGCTCATCTGACTTCAACAAATTTATAATGATCGATATTCATTAAGTAACTACAACACAGAAGTCTCTTCTCCATTTTTGTTGGTGGTAACACTATCCTTTCAGTAATCTAGACTTGAAAGCTATTAGTCATTTTTGATTCTTCTTTTTAACTTCACCTACATTTTCCAGATAAGTCATTCATAATACCTTCTGAATCCATTACATCCTAAATGTTTCTTTTCTAGATTAGACTTTTCTTTCTCTAGCAGGACTTCTTAAACTTTTTTTTTTCCACTTGGGACCCCATTCACATTTTGGTAACATTTGTTGATGCTGCATGGCCTGAGGGCATGTACAGTGCAAAGTGCATGTGCTGTGTGTTCAGAACCAAGGCTGCAGTGAAGTTGCATGATGCAACATGGGCAACAAGTAAAGGTGCTGCCAGAAGCACCTCAGATTCATGTTTGATTTTTAATTAATTTTTGGTCATTGAGCTTTTAGAAAGCTTTTACTATTGCCTAATTTTTTGTGACCTGGTATGGAGTCATGACCCACAGTATAAGAAGTGTTACTCTAGAGAATATCTTGTTTTATCTATCTTTCATACGACTAACTGAATAATCTTTCTAATGTATTTCTGCAATTATATAATTCCACTACTCAAAAATCTTCCATGGTTCTCCACTGACTTCTGAATAACATATAAGAAACCTTAACCCTGACATCCAATCCCTCTATATTTAGAGGGTTGGCTTTCCAACCTTATCTCATAGTACCACATTCACATATTTATGGTACAAATAGAACTAAACTGAATCCCTTGTAATTGTCTTTGTCCTTTCTCAATTTTTTTGCTCATGCTGTCCCCCACTATGAGTGTTGAAGTCCCTCTCTTCCTTCAAGGTACAACTCAGGTGCAACATTCTTCCTTAACTCTTCTCAGATAAAAGTGATTTCTAACTCCACAGATTTCTCATAGCATTTTGCCTTGACTTACCAGGACCTCTACAATGATACATTCTCTTGTAACAGCTAAGTTTATATTTTTCTTTCTTTAATTGAGGCTTTAGACCCCTTGAGAGGACCCATGTTATCTATATCTTTGTATTATGCCTAGCACCTTGCATTACATGTAGTAGGTGCTTCATAAATATTCAAGTTTATTTCAATTAAATCAATTTATAACATTAATTTGTTTCCCCTGCATTCAGCTCCCATTGAGAGAGAATATTGTCAAATCTATAGAAGATGTGTTGCAGCTGTCTTTAAAAATATTCAGTTGGATAATTCCTTTGAAAAAAGGGCCTTCATCAGTTTATGTACCTATAATACCATATGTTCCACATGTTATTTTCCCCTCTCTTTTCTTTAGTACAATATAGATAAAGCCATTGTGGATAGTGGCACCACTCTGTTGCATCTGCCTCCAAAAGTTTTTGATGCCGTGATTGAAGCAATTTCCCACACATCTTTGGTAAGTGTAATCATAACTTGTCTTCTCGGGGAAAACAGGAATTAATTTTGTAAATGATCATGTAGAAACTAGAAATCATGTCTATTGGAGTTTCTTTCTTATACTTATTTATTCTTTTAGATTTTTTTGCCTCACTGTTCTTTCCCAAGAACCAGCTTATCTCCTAGGCCCATAAAACCTTTTATTGCAAAGGAAAATGGTTAAAAACAAACTGCCATATGACATATGGCAACTTAGGCAGTGTTTTACACCTGTAGTCAATCATCTCTCTAGTAAGAAGAAAGAAGCTTTTATCATTGTAACCAATTGTATCAATGTAAATATCATATTTATATTTATATGTTATCATAATAAATATCATTGTAACCAATTAGTATAAATATTTAGAATATTTTCTATATAATATAAATATAAATTTGTTGTAACAATGTATTTGTAATAAATTATATATGTACATGTATAAATTATGTATTGTTTGTAATATATAATTATATATACAATGTTATATATTTATAATACATGTAACACTATTTGTAATACAATTTATATTTGTGAAATATATTTGTAATATTATGTTTGTATTATTTGTAACAATTAACCATTTTATCAATGTAACCAAGATTAGTTATTACATTTAACATGTATAATCATATCTTTGATTATTTCCATTTATATTATCATTGTAATTGGCTACATATCACTGGAGAAGAAAAGACTTAGGGGTGGAGGACGCAAATAATAATTGTTTTCAAGTATTTGAAGGCTAGTATATGGAAGAGTAATTCATTTTGTTCTGTTTGTCTCTAGAGAGCCCAACCAGAAGCAATGGGTGGAAGTTGCAGAGACAAATTTGGGCTTGATATTAGGGGAAACTTCCTGGCAATTATTATTTTCTAGGCTTATTTGAGTGCCAGAAAGTGGAAGAGGTCTAGGAGAGAAGGGAGTTTAACAACAGAATAGAGGTTTCGAAAGGCATACTGGAAAAGGTCAGAAGAGGGTTATAAAAGAAGGCCTCATGAGAAGTATAGCTGAGATGAAAATGTAAGAATCATCAGAGGAAAGGAATTTTTGCCCTGGCAAACACAAGTTAATGAATCATAGAGATTAGGGAAAATACAAAGAGAGTTGCTTCAGAAAAGAAACTCATTACTGAACTATGGCTCTAGATGGATATACTTCATCGTAAAGCAGGTTAGATGAAAGGGGGAAATGAAAGTGAGTTGAATATTAAGAAGGTAAAATCACGTACAATTTAACATTTTTATCAGTGACTTGGATAAAGGCTTGTGCTCATCAAATTTGCAGAGGATTAAACAGAATCTAGTAAGATGAATCTGATGGGAATAAATGTTAAGTCTTACATTTGGGTACCAGAAAAAATTGACTTTACAAGTACCAGATATGAAAGGCATGGTAAAATAGCAATTTGTCTAAAAATGATCTGGGGATTCTAATGGAAATACAATATGAGTCAGCAATGTGATGTGAAAGCCAAAGAAGCTAATGCTATTTTAGAAGATATTAAAAGAGGTATATTTTCCAGAAACAAGGAAGAGATAGTCCCACTGTATTCTGCTTTTATCAGAATATTATGTTGAGTAATTATTAAACTGGAGAGTGTCTAGAGGAAGGCAACCAAGATGATGAAAGGCTATGTCATATAAGGATAAGTTGAAGGAACTGGGCATGTTTAGCCTGGAGAAAAAAATACTCAGAGCAGACATGATAACTTTCTGGAAGTATCTGAAGGGCTATTATGTGAGGGAAAATTAGATTTGCTCTCTTTGACTCCAGAAAGTAAAACCAATAGCAATGGATAAATGTTGAAAAAAGACATAGTTAGGCTTGATGTCAGGATAAACTTCCTAGAAATTATAGCAGCCCAAAAGTTGAATATACTCTCTCCCAAAGTGGTGGCCTCCTTTCATTTAGAGATATACAAACAGAGAGTGGATGATTACTTTTTGGATTTAATATTGTGGGAATTATTTCCATGAATAAGTTAGACTAGATCAGTGCTGAGTTCCCTTCCAACTCCACAGTTTTATAATTCTCCTACTCCAATGCTAATCGTAGACCAGCTTGGAAGGTTATGGAGCGAAGGAAGTTTTCTGTCTTGTCTACAAAAGTACTGTAAAACGCTGACAAATTTCTCACTAAATTCAGTAACCGTTAACATTTTTACACAATTGAATATAAATTGTAGATATTTTTACGTAATTTAGAAAATCAAAGAAAAGGTCAGTATGCCCTTTGGGAAACTGAGTGCATCACTATAGGAACAAGTTTCCAATTAAAAAGTCTATCATTGGGACAGCTAAATGGCACAGTGGATAGAGCACTAGCCCTGGCCTCAGACACATAACACTCACTAGCTGTGTGACTCTGGGTAAGTCACTTAATGCCAATCACCTCACCAAAAAAAAAAAAGTCTATCATCAAGTCTAATCCACTGTTGCAATAAGATGTGGTCATTTGTTAAATTATAATAGCACCTATGTCACAGGGTTGCTATACAGATCAAACAAATGGGGGGGGTGGAGATGACTTCACATATCCTTTCTTTGGGGCCAAGCTTGATAATTTTATAATTTTTATAATTAGATGTATAATTTTGTGACATTCCATTTTAATTATTTTGTTATTGTTCTTTCCATTGATATTGTTGCAGTCATCGTGTGTACTGTTTTCCTGGTTCTTATTATTTCAGTATGCATCAGATCACATAAGCCTTGCCATGTTTCTCTATGTTCATCACATTCACTGATTCTTATAGCCTAATAATATATTACATTCATGTACTACATTTTGTTTAGCCAGTAACTGATAGTCACCTACTTTGACTCAAATTCTTTGATACTGCAAAAAGTGGTACTATATTTTGTCATTGACTTCCTTGGGGTATCTGCATAGCAGTGAAATCTCTTGGTCAAAGGGTATAGGTAACATAGCAGAAAGAGCTCTAGACTTGGAGTCAAGAAGATATGAATTCAAATTCCACCTTTGGCATTGACTAGCTCTATGCTTGAGTAAGTTATTTAACTTCTGGTGGCTTCAGTTTCTATTTGCTTCAGTTTCCTCATCTGTAAAAATGGATATTACAACAGCACTTGACTCCTTGGCTTTTTGTGAGGAACAAATGGGATAGTATTTGTAAATCTTAAAGTGCTGTATAAATGCTGCTGTAATTGGAGGAGGAGGAGGAGGAGGAGGAAGAGGAGTAATTTGATATATACAGCTTCTTAGGCAACTGTTTCAACATCACCTTACCCTTACATCACACTTAAATTTACCTTTCTGCCTCTTCTACCCTTTGCTCCTAATTGTATTTCTTGGAACCAAAGAACAAGTGTGATCCCATTTCCATATAACATTCCTTCAGCTTCTTTTTTTTTAACTTCAAAAAATGTATCATCTTATTTGTACATTTAAAAAGTAGTACATTGAAACTTATAGCTCTGTAAAAACTACTTATTGCTGGAAGAACTGCCACGGAAAGGGGAGGGTGTTACCTTTTTTTAGTTGATCATTAGGAAAAGTTAGAGGAATAAAAAACACAGTACAACCCTTTCATTTTAGAGATGAAGAAGCTACAACCCAGACAGATGGTATGAATTGCCAAGGTCCTCTGACTCCAAGTACGGTGCTATTTCTACCAAACCCATTTGGCCTGCTTTGGAGAATATACTCAAAGTTATCTTGGAATGCTTGAGACCTACTAATACATGGAATTTCCAAGCTCCATCAGAGCTGGCTTCTGGGAAACCAAGCATATATCCCATACCTTCATAGAGAGCAAGGAGTTCACACCTAAGTATCTCCACTCTCTAGGGGGTGAAGTTAAACAATTTACTCTGGAAAATGTATCAATTTGTCTTGTATGAATATTCCTTTTTTGGAAATGGTTATGTTGTTTTCATTTGTTCTTTACCTGTTGCCTGGTAAAAATTAGTTTAAAAATGTAACAACTGATAGAGAAGCATGCAGACCCTATAGACCAGTGCCGTATAGTTCAATTAGAGGTTTTATCAATTTAACTAGCTGTAAGACTTTTTGAAGGAGACATTCTGCCTCAGTAGTAATTACTTTAATATCTTCTGGAGCAGAGCTGTCAAACAGAAAGTAGGAATGTGCTGCCTCATCCAGATTAAAATATAATTGGGAAATATTTAGCAAAATAAATAAAAATACAATAAAATGTAGATAACATTACATTTTTAAACTAAGTCAATTTACAGCCTACAGGGAAACTTGTTGTGGCCCCATTTCTATATAAGTTTGACACCGTTAGCTGAGAGTATTGGTATATTCTTATTGGTAGATTTTAAAATCTATATACATTACTTTCTGCTACAGACTAAAAGCAAATTATTCAAGTTAGGTTGATAATCTTAATACTAATTAATATTTGAGATAACGTAGATAATAGACAAGGTGATGAGAAAGACAATTGATATAGGCAGCTAATAAATACTCAGTTGTAATATTTGTTTTTCACATAGCCCCTTTTTTCCCCTTAGATTTCAGAATTTTCTGAAGGATTTTGGACTGGTTCTCAGCTTGCATGCTGGAACTACGAAACACCTTGGTCATATTTTCCCAATATTTCCATATACCTAAGAGATGAGAACTCCAGTAAATCATTCTGTATCACTATCCTGCCTCAGGTATGAACTTGAATTTTTATTTTTCTATTTTTAATGTGTAACTCCAGTTCCAAAGCCCATTGGTAGAAGACTTTTTCTTTATTAGTTGAAATGAAGACCCTGCCCTGCATGAGGGGCAGGGAGGAGTTGGCAAGAGCAAGAAAGCACCAGCCTTCTTCAGTCTTCTTCAGACTTTCTACTTTTAAGTCACTTTAGGACCTGCAGTTGCTTAGGACACTTCTGGCTTCCAGGTTCAAGAAGGAAGATGAAAGAAGCCAACACCACTTCAAGTTGATGAAGGAAAAGATTCTTGGAAGACATGGCAGGAGCAAGCAGTTTCCATTATATCTCTAACCCCAGCTAGCTACAGAAGAGATGTCGAGGAGTTTCCCCTTGGGTGAGACCTAGGACTCTCTTTCTCTTTCTCCCTCTTGGTTGAGCTGAGTTATCTCACTCCCAGTGGAAGAGCTTCTTCACTCAGTATTGTCTAGTATATATTTTCATATGTTTGCCTTCTCTGATTTCTGGTTTGCTGTAATTTAAATAGGTTTCTTTGCTATTTCACTGTGTGTTCATTGTAAAACTTTTTTAGTGGGAAAGTTGTCAAGCCTTGGATAGAAAAGGTGGGCTCTTCCTCTTCTCCAATAATGAACAGTGATCAGAAGTTATGTTGACCTGAAAATAACATCCCCTAGACTAATCATATTTAAATGAGAAGATAGATAGAATTCTAACCCAGTTCCCCTTTCTCTAAGGAGAGCAGAGTGACCTCTAGCCCAACTTCCTGCTTCCCCTTCTGGCAGGAGTTAATGTCTCCTTTGCAGAAGGAGGGCAAGGCAGAGAGAAGAAGATAGAAATGTCTTCTGCCTCCCTTGATGCCACACAAAGACACCACCATGCTATATGTGGGGGATAGGCCTCACTACATGTGAGCATTCAAAACAAATATAACTCAATTCAACAAATACTTTCAATTAAATAAACATTTATTAAGTGCCTGCCATGTGGCACTATTTTCAAATACAATCAAGCCACAAAAATAATAGGAGGCACCTAAACCCAAAAGGTACATTAGAGGATATCTAGTCCAACCTACTCATTTACAGATGCAAAAACTAATCCCAAGATAGTAATTAATTTGATCACAATCCACAGAAGTAGTAAGTGGCAGAGGAAGGACATGAACCCAACTCCTCTGACTCCAAACCTAGTATTTTTTATGTAGTAAGATCCAACAAAGAACGTATGAAACTAGAGGTGATGTATTTGAGTTCTGTTCTCTACAATGCCTTTGATTCACTATATAGTTTGAAGCAAATCACTTAGCCTGTTAGGGTCTATCTTTCTAACCATAATGAAGAAAAGTAGTACTTATCACTGACTTTTATATTCTTGGGTAGACAGCAGTACATAGAGTAATGTTAGAATAATGTACTTTTAGGGTCTTCAAAATAATGTGCTATCTCTGATTAATTGTAGCCGGTATAAGAGTAGAATACGGAAGCCATTTATTCAGTGTGATTTGTAGGAACATATTAAAAATGTACTTGTAATGGTAGAAATATAGTGGTATGGTAGAAAAAACACTGATTATATTCAGAAGACCAGGATTTGAGTGTCTGCTCCAATATTTCCTTTTTGTGTGGTGATTTGAATCATTTAAATTCTCTCAATCCAAATTTCTTCAACTTTAAAATAGAGAAAATAATATCTGTACTATCTATTTTACCAGGGTAAGGAATATATTTTATAAATATCAAAGCACTATATTTATGTGAGTTATCATTATTATGAATACTTGTCAGTCAGGATTGGTAGGTTGATAAGATCAGGACCTTTAAAAAAAATACATACATTCTACAAACGTCACAAATGAAGAAAGAAGTAAGAATCCTAATACATTACTATGTAAATGCATAGCATTCTGTACTATTCTCATACATTTGTATAAATTTTTTAAACTGGTTTTCAAGTTACCACATTCTGATTTTTTCCAATCTATTTCTCTTTTTCCTTCTCCAATTCATCCAGTTCTTTTCCCAGCATCAGTGTTCCTAGCATTTCTTTCCATTGTCCATCCCAGCATCATAGAGGGAGTCCTTTGGTGTGAAATTGCTGAGGAACTCAGTATTCTGACACAGCAGGTCAAGAACTCAATTACTATTTGGGTCTGTGGCCTAAATATTTTTGTTGGAGTTTTTCTAGCAGGAGCTCTTCCCCAATCCCAGACATTTCATGACAGGTCATCTTAATTTCATGTTGCTTACTGTTTATGTTAAAATACAAGATGAAGAAACCTTTAATAAGTCTTCAGAGGTCCTCTAGACTGAGGAACCCTATTTAAATTCATCCAAATAATGGTAAATTGTGGGGCAAACTGGTTTCAAACTATTTCAATTCCTAGGATGGCCACTTCTAACAAATGAAGCAAGATTATTTTTTATCTTCGTAATCTTTGTAATTGTTATCATCCTATTTTCCCTAGACCCTTGAGGAAATTCTGATTTGTTGACCAGCTTTAAAAAAAATACTTTGGGTCCACAGGCATATGCTGAATTTTCTGAATCAATTTGTGACTATAGGAATACTTCAATGTTGTATATTATATATATCTATGTGTGGGTCATGTCACAATATTTATAGATTTAGAGTTGGAAGGGTTGTTAGCCTTCACTATAGAATGTTCTTGAGAACAAGAACTACTTAGTTTTTGTCTTTAGTTATCTGAGATATATAGCACATTGCCTTGATGGTGGTAGGTGTTTAATAAATGTTTATTAAATCTAAGGGATAGTTATTCCATTGCTGTGGGTATCCCATCCAGTGGTGCTGATTGCAGTCCATTCATGCTCTCATACTCTAATATTCTTCCATGCTTTTTCATGTCATTTCCTTCCGAAAGCCTCAAGAGAGGATCTACTGAACACTGTAGAGGCCTTAGCCTAGATCTTTTAATAATCCCTTAGAATCAATCTTGTCACTATTGAGTAAATGACTTACTCTTATAAATATATGAATATACTGAGAAGCAGAATTGTTAAAGAAAATAGAGAAAGAATACTGTGACATGACCATATATCATTCCAAAGCTGAAGAAATTTATACAGGAGAAGGTGATAAATATGCTTCAATGGCATGGGAATTTGCATTATTTAAATCTCATGTCTTGGAAAAATAGACGATCTGTCAAAGACATGCCCAACATCCAATATGATGTATGGTTGCATAATAAAGAAATAAAGAATAATGTACCAAAATCTAATGGACAGCTATGTGGCACAGGGTGTAAAGTCCCAGTCTTAAAGTCAGGAAGAATCATCTTCATAAGTTCAAATCCTATCTCAGACACTTACTAGAAATATAACCCTGTGCAAGTTACTTAACCCTGTTTACCTCAGTTCCTTACCAGTAAAGTGAGCTGGAGAAACAAATAGCAAATCACTCCAGTTTGCCAAGAAAACCCCAAATGGGATCATGAAGAGTCAGACATGGAAAACAACTGAACAACACCACCAAAATCTTATAGAGGCATTGCCAAATTATGTAAAAAAACAAACAAACAAACCTCATTATGGCAAATGGAGGACTTGCATATTAAAAGGCATATCTTAAAAATAAGACAAAATGTATAAGATTCATTATATAAGTAAATGTAATTACTTTATCTCAGTTAATTTGCAAAACTGCACAGGTCTAAAAGCAAATTATTCAAGCTGGTACTTTGTCATGATTGTTGTTAATAACTAGTTTGCAGAGTTTTGGGTCACATGAGCAACAAGCTAGAGGACTAGACAATTTTTCTGATTCCTATAACCTCTCCAATCTTTCTAAAACAGAAATTATGTGCCAAAGATAAAGCAACTTTAGCTTACCTCCTTGGTCAGAGTCTAGCAAACCCACAATACAAAAGGAGGTTAAAAAAAACCATGACCTTGAGCTAACTCAGCACCCCTCCCTCAGCTCCCACACAGCTGCTACCAAGAGCAAGGATGCACTAACACACACAAGGACCAGACACAGGCTTACCACAAAACCCACACCTATACCCTAGTTTCCCTTCCCTTTTTCCAGAGCCATGTATATCCCAGCTTCAGGCTGTAGAATTTTCTTTGGTTTGCAATAGACAGCCAATGCAGCTACAACCCTTTAGGAACCATATCACCATAGTACCAGTGCTACAAAGCTCAGAACTGCAAGTGATAGGCCAGACAAATCTATTGCACCAGTATGGCTACTCACTGAATCACCAATGCTGGGCCAGATTCAACCCCCAAGAAAACCACCATCAGAAGGTACAGTGTCAGAGAGTGAATGAGGAAAAAGTAGGGGTGGTGGAGGGAGACTGAAATTACCAAAGATCTCAGGAAGGCGAAAACTCAAGGAAAGCAAAAGAAAATGATCCAGTACTTGATGACAGAAGACCCTGTGGAATGTGAGGAGAACATGAAAACAGAACACATTGTTCCTAGGTGGCTCAAAAGACAAATGAGAATTTTGAGAGCAGAATTTATGGACTCCACAACATAAATGATGAGCAAAGGAGAAAAACTTGAATCTGTGATGGCAAGTCTTACCAAAGAAACAAAAGAAAAAATAATAGATTAAAAATGCAAATACATATAAGTGAAGGATAATCCAGAAGAAGAGAATTAAAAAAAAAACATCAAAAGAAAATGTACTCTATGAAAGCAAAAGATCATGAAGACAGGATGTGTAGAGACAACCAAAGGATCATAGGTTTCCCAAAAGAACATGACAGAACAAAAAACCTTAACACCATAATGGGGAAAATAATAGAGGAGAGCTGCCCAGAATTTCTGAATATAGAAAATGAAGTACCAATTAAAAGCATTCACATATCACCTCCAGAAAAAAAGAGAAAAAGTCAAGGCTACAAAATCCAAGACTCTTGGTGGTTAAATTTAATAATTCAGTTCAGAAACAAATTTTGCAAGTGATCAGTAGAAAGATCTTTAAATAGAAAGAAAATGAAATTCAAATAGTGAGAGATTATTCTGCAC